CTCCGTACCGGGAGCGAAGTCCTGGCACAGGGACGGCCGCCCGAGAAGCGAGCGCTGCGCAGTCGCTGGCCTTCGTGACCTCTGGGACCTCCGGAATGGAAGGTGTCGCAGTGGCAGTTGACTCCGGAACCGGGCCTGATTGCAGTAGAAGGACGCCAACACCAGGTAACAAGCGTCTGTATAAGTCTGAGTGTATTGATAGTTTTGGCAGGCCCGGGCGGACCTGCGACGCGGTGTGTCGCATATTGCACGGCCTCTTCTTGCAGGCGCTGCCGGAACCTTCCAAAGAAAAGATCTGCGAGCGAAACCCGAGAAGTGCAACTGCCCGACAAGCTTTGCAGCCGGGTTGCATGCCGTGAGGCATGGACTGGATGTTGCGCTGATCTGCCACTCCCTGCTCCTCCCCATTTCGTGGGTACGTTCTCTCGCGCTCCGCAGCCCTTTCTCACAGCGCAGGTGTGCCACATACCAGCGGTATCCCGCAGCCATGCCTCGATGTGGATGAAAGTGTTCCTCACCTGGTAAAGATTCGAGGGCAGTGCCGCGACGTCCTGCTGCCAGGTGACATCGTTGGAACTCTTACTGCTCGAGCCCTTGCACCGCTCCTCAAAGACACCGCCAGAAGCGTCCTCTGCAGAGTCGGGTGAAGTTGCTCCTGGCCCAAAAACATGGAATCGAGTTCTGCAGGGAACGGAGGCTAGCAAGCGTGCCTGAAACGGCTGTTGACTGATCCGAAGCACACTCCGCTCGCGCCCCTTCCCTCGAACCTGCCGCCGCAGCCATGTGCGGCCATGCTCGGCCACCACGATGCATTATGCTGCATGCAAGACAATGCAAGAGACACACTCTCCGGCCTTCCTTTGCCAGGCCGGCTTTCAGAGATGCTGAGGACTTGAAGAGATGCAATCTACCTTGCGACGCTCGCGGACACGAGGGCACCTTTCATCGTCGGTCCGTGTTGCGGCCGAAGCTCGTTCCTCCCCGAAGCCATAGCTCTCGCAGTTGATCTCCGGATACTTCTCCGCCAGCTTCTTCGCCTGCCGGACAGGCTTGTCACCTACGCGTTTTGCCGGTGAGACGCCCAGCTGTGCCTGTTTGCGCTGCTCGGGATCCAGAGGCGGCAGCCGCAGCTCTTTGCAGCTCCTCCACTGGGACAGACTTCTCTCTGTGCCAACGCTGAAATCACCCGCTTTGCAGCAAGGCGGCACATCGGCAAG